GTTCTTCTTTGTACTAAAACCAGTCAGAAATAAAACACACTTTTATACACGAGAACTTTATTTAAGGATAGATATGCAAGATTGTTTAATTCCTCCTGAAAATTTTCATTCTTGCTTAATATGTTTTACATAGTGCGTTTGGGCGAGGATATTGCTGTATATGTACATGTATATGTATATGGAGGGCACTGTATCTTAGCGAAAATACCTTAACTAATATCTATATGAAAACTGTTTTTATATCTGATGATGCACAGAGCTATAATCCACAGTGAAAAATAATAACAATTATATTATATTATATTCATGCACATAAACTTTTAATCCGTTCTATTATTTTATTTCATATGCTAAACTAAATTTTATGTAACAGGGAATAAAGTTACAAAGACGCTTTTTTATTTCTAAATATAAACCTCTTAATCTTTATTACGACTTATTGTGTAATATTTGTCTTAAAATGGTACAAAATGTGAAGAAAATTTCTTAAAGGGACATGACACAGCTTCAACAGAATTTTTGAAACCACTTTTAATGTTTACAATACTTGTAAACGCATCATCGAATGATAAGCGAAAATTTGAATATCACTTGTTGATTAATTAACGAGATGCAGAACTTTAAAGTTCTTCATAATGTAAACAAGGCTCGTACATATAGAAAATATCATATTTGTAACAAATTGAAATTCACCAAATCACTAGAGACTGTAAAATACTCGTAGCATTTAGAATTAACTTCTTTTTTCAATTATCTGCTTTGAAGTAACACATATTAGTATATTAATCTATGTAAACCCTGTTTACGTAACAAAAATTAAGAGCTCTTAATCTGTTTGTATCTCGACAACTGAAGATCAGATTTTTAATGATCATTAGAAAGACCTTTGTTAAATATTTGGAAAAATGGAAAAATAAATTTGAAATTTTTTAGCTGAAACTGTGCCCCTTTAATGCATTCTATTGGTAATAATTAGTGATTTATATGCAAGAGTTTCGGTCAAGTAAAAAAAGAAGGACTGCTAGATTTAAATCCTCTTAGCACACAGACCAGGAAGTAAAATATCTGACATGTAGATAACACAGGTAGGGTCATGTGATCTCTTTACATAGAGACAGGTTTTGTTCAGACAGGCTGTGTTTGGGCAACATGACGGTCGCCATTAAAATCTGCAGGTTACAATCATGGAAATTTTATTTGCTACATTTGTATAAAATTGTACATAATGGACAAGATTTGTTCAAAGAATAATATTCTGAACATGTATTGTACTAATCATACAATATACTTATGAGAATTCTTAAGACTCTTGGATACATACAAACAAGGACAAGGTTATAAATAGAAAAAGTGCTGTCTGGCATTTATATTTCAGCAAAAATTATCTCAGTATTTTACAAACATAAACCGGTATATTTTGAGCATTCTGGATTCATTTCAAAAGGTTTTTTTTTTAACTAACACGACTTATTTCAAAACATGTCTTACAACCGAAATTTCCCTATAAGGTTTGTTTCATTGCTGAAGGTTTTTCATACATATATACAATTGTCAAATTTCTTAGTATTTATATTTTCCTATTCTACGTTGTGATGATTTTTAAGATATCCAAATACATGTCAAATTTATTGGTAGAACCATTGAGGAACAAATACATTTATTTTACATTGTAATTCAGCATTAAAGAAGCATTTTGACTTCCAAGGAAAAAATAATAAAAGATTAGCATACTATCAATATTTTTATCTGTTTGTCAACATTCTTGTTGTCCCCTGCTTTCGAAAAAGCATTTGTGATGATTTTATACAGCCGGACGGATTTAAAGTAATGAAGTCAGGCATTTGATATGATTATGATGTTATGAATATGCAGTAAGAATATTTAACAAATGCCTTTTCCATACTAGGTTTACTTTGATCATGGACTCCCGTACCAGTGTCCAGGATATGACAAAATTGTGAAAATTATCAAGAATGAGAGGATAGAGGAGGTGATCAGACTACAGAGCTGGAAACCTCGCAGTGTATATAGTACCTCTTCTGGTGACCTCCTGGTTATCATGGACAGTAATGATTACACACAAGCAAAACTTGTCCGTTATTCTGGCTCCACAGAGAAACAAAGCATTCAGTTTGATGATAAAGGTAAACCTATTTACTCACCTAGATGCATTCATATTACTGAAAACAAAAACCTAGATATATGTGTTTCTGACAGAGGATCTAGAGCAGTGGTGATGGTCAATCAGGCCGGGAAACTGAGATGCCGATACACGGGGCATACTCCTTCTCTGAAGAACGGAGCATTCCATCCACAAGGAATCACCACAGATAGTCAGAGTCACATCCTTACAGCTGATAATAACAAAAGCTGTGTCCACATCATAGACCAGGATGGATAGTTCCTTCGTTACATAGACTGTGGACTAAATAACCCAATAGGACTGTGTACAGATACTAATGACTATCTGTTTGTTGCTCAAAACTTTAAAGGGCAAATGAAGAAAATAAAATATTTGCAATGAATAAGTGACGTATTGATATTGAAAATATGTCAATAATAAAAGACATTTTTTACCATACAGTTAACATTTAACTTAAGGGGGCCGACTGGGGTTATATTTTGTGAAGACTACAATAGCGAAACTCTTAATGTTTTTTTTTTTGCAAAGTTTAGGGGAAATCTACCGTCAATGTATTTTTAAAGGATCGCAGGTACATTTACTATAGGGTTATGCAAGTAAGTCACAATTTTTAGCACTTTAAAGCACATTATAAAAATACTACAATAGACTTTTTGTTCATACTAAGCTGTATGATGCGTAAAACTATATTGTTTATTAAAAGTTGGTGATAATATCATTGAAAGTGTGCCATGCGTAAAAAATCTAGGTGCATTTTTCGATCAACACCTTACTATGGAAAAACAGGTATCCTCGGTCGTCAAGTCATGCCATTTTCAAATAAGCAATATTGGACGAATACGGCGCTTTCTTACAAAAGAAGCCTGCAAGACCATGGTGAATGCCGTTATCACTGCCAGGCTGGACTATGGGAACTGCCTTCTATATGGAGTGTCAAAGGCCTTACTAGACCGGATTCAAAAAGTCCAGAACACGGCAGCTCGTTTAGTTACAAGATCATCGAAACGGGAGCATATTACACCTATCCTAGCTGATCTTCATTGGCTACCTGTTTCTTTTCGTCCACAATATAAAATCTTGACATATGTCTACCAATCCTTACACGGGTTGGCTCCATCGTATATCAAAGATCTTATAATGGAATACAAGCCTACCAGATCACTGCGATCTGAGTCAACATCACGGTTAGTTGATCCTAAGATTACGACGAAGACATATGGTGAACGTCGACTTGGTTGGGCAGCAGCATTTTTGTGGAACGACCTTCCTAATGATATAAAGCAGGCCCAGTCCCTGGATATTTTCAAAAGACAATTAAAGACGCATTTTCATAGAATAGATTTTTAAATTTTAGGTGCTCAATTTTTAGCAGCAAATCATAAATCACAAATGATGTTCTTTTATTGAGTTTTATTGATGGTGTAATTGTATTTTTTATGTAATTTGTAGTATTTTAATGTTATAATTCCGAGCACATATATGAGTATGGGTTAATATTTTATATATGTTTTCATAGCTTTTAAATTATGTTTACTTGCGTTTTATTGTACAGCGCTTTAGAGTTAAATTATTAATATTTAGCGCTTTATAAATTCATATATTATTAATATTATATGTTTAAGAAACACAAAATTCTACCGTCTTCTCACTAAACATTTTTTTTTTATCTCAAAATGCCAAAAATTAACGAATTTTTCTTGTTTTTAAAGAGCACTACAACATATGATGGGCACAAAGGATTTACATGTATATAAAAAAAAAAATAAAAGGAATAATGGAGAGATTATCAAATTTTAACATTTTTACTCCCCCTTTCTTTAAGAAGTTCAGTTTGTCATAACGTTATATTTACATTTGCAAATGTTTTCCTTTATATAGCACTACTAAAGGCAAGCGTTTTTATAACTGTGTAAATACAGGTATGGGGTCAAGAGGTCATAGATGTGCGTTTGGATAAACGTTCGACGTAATTTCTCTGTGACGTCATAAAGGGTCGACGCGCGTTTAGTGGATTACATACATGCCGTTGGGTTTGAAAAATTAAGGCATCTCACACGTTAAAAGTAAAAATCAGGCAAATATAAAGTATGAGTAAGTCACAAATGTAAATATAAGTAATAAGGTATCATTTTTTGAGTTTTATTGAGATGTAAAACGGGTTGGCACATGATCAAATCTTCCATAAAGCCCTTCGGGCTTTATGAGATTTGATCACGTGACCAACCCGTTTTACATCTCAATAAAACTCAAAAAATGATACCTTATTTCTTAAAAAAACACACTTTACATGTAACGACGTCAACTTACCTATCAGTTGCAAAGTCGGTTAAAAATTCAGCAATATAGAATTGTACATTTTTAAAATCTGTAATCTCTTAATTTTGTTTAATTTTATTAATTTAGTGAAAGAGTTGATTTAAAACAGTGAAAACGCTTCATTTTACTCTGATATGCGAAATATTGCGCAATGAAAACCCCAGTCGGCCCCCTACAGGGATAACACCAATTTTCCTTTCATTGCTGCAGGTATGAGCTACATGTGTACCTGGGATGTGAACATTTCACGAATGTGCATTTTCATTTCTGTAAAATTTACCAAACGGAATATCTGAAAGGACTTTTTAATTAGTTTTAAACGTTAAGTTTCCGAAAATATGGAAATATGTAACCATGGATTTACTGTATATAGGGAAAATTTCGCCCCTGGGTTGTTTTTGCCCCCTTCGTCAGCAAAAGTCGAATTTTAAACGGGACAAATTCAAAGTAAACAGTATTATGTCTTAACAAAAAATCATTCTGTCCGAATTTAAAACGGGGCAAAGTTGTTTCCAAATATGAAAGGGCGAAAAAAAAACACGGGGCGAAAATAACCCTGTATACAGTAATTATAAACATTATTACTATAAAATTTACTGTGAGGTTTATTATAAATATCAAATAGGCCATGAAAAACATAGGAGTGTGTGCATGTATAAGTTTAAACATATTGTGGCCGTCAAGGAATGTCGGCAAGAGAAATATTTCTCGAAGTCAAAAATGTAAAAATGGAGGGAAAAACCTAGCGGTTATGTATCAATAAGAAATAACAGTGTAGGTTTCTATTGGGGTCTTGGGGTTTTATCTCAAATATTACTGTTGCCACTTTTACATATCTATACAATGGATATCAGACATTGTATTCCAACACAAGATATCAAATAAAAAAATACTTTTGCTTTTGGAAACGTGAATATAAAATAATTTTAAAACTTAGTGACCTTAACGAAACACATTTCCCTTAATATTGACACAAGGTAAACTCTTTAAGATACGTGTGATGTACATATGGCAGCTTTACCAAAAGTAGACCAAAATCTAAAGTCAAGTTTATGGGGCCAAAAACGTTGGAAAATTTAAGGAATGGGTTTGTCAGAAGGCCCAGTTCTAGCACAAGTGTTTTCAAAAAGAAAGTTAAACTCCAAGATTGAGGACAAAGGATAAAACTTGTTGAGAGACCCAAACAAAAGTCTTGTAGAAATTATTCAGCTTCAAGAATAATAACAATCCTGTTAAAATTAGACCATACATTGTCAGAACACAGTCAATATAACAATAAACCTAAAGCTTGACACATAAACGCAAATGCTAAATACCAAGTGATGAACACTAGAAAGCTGTTTCTGAAGATCAAAAAACATGTTTATTTTTTGGATCGTGGTCTATGCTCATATTTTAATTCTTTGCTGAAGGTAGTCAAATACGCATGTTTTCTGCAAAGTTAAAGAACATTGCAATTTCTCAAAGCCTGTTTTCCAATACTAGTATCTGGATCCTCAAAAAGAAATTTTATTATGGGAAATAAAAGCACTAAGTGTCTAGTTTATTTTGATACATGAAATGGGAACGAGGGTGAAAACTGATACAAGGACAGCGCCATATTATGCATAAACTGAACCTAGCTCTTTTAATGTTAAGTTTTCAACCGTGGAAAAATAATGAAGCCCGCAAATTGTTTTCTGTAGGCATTAGAAAAGAAAATAAGCTTAGTACTAGTGTGGGTGGAGATGTATGACATTTGTTGACCTCTGTTGATCTTGTTGACCTCAGACTACCACCAATCCCTCGCTGACAGGCATGCTGATGACGCCTGTAATGATAGGAACACTTTTCCCGCCCTTTAGAACAAACACCTGCTATAATACAGAAGGTATAAGTTACTAACAAATACACATATTATTTATCTTACACTAAATATAGTTACACAAGAGTTTTATTTTATGAATTCGATCGAGATTTCATCCACTAGTTCTGCTAATTCTAACAAATATTTTTTTCTCGTCAATTGTAAGAAATATTTGCATTAAAGTTTCCAGATGTCAGTCACAATGTTTTTTCTATCATGATGTTAATCGACCTTATTCAAAAAGATCCTCGTGTTTGCAAGTGCTGCAGACTGTAGACACAGTTTTCACATATATGCAGGGCATATTTCAATTTTATTTTATTCCTAAAGAAATAAATTAATTTTTGTAAGTTTTCAGTTTGCCTTTGAGTTTGGTATACTTGACGACTTCAACTTTTCTGCCATACCTTCAGTGTAATCTTGCACTCACACGTCTTTCTAATCGAAATAATTTCTTTCTATTTTTGTTGGTTTCTCTGTTTATCTTCTTACAATGTACATTATTTGAACTGATGAAGTTTCTTTTTTTCTCTTCATAGTGTTGTGAATATAATATTCTCTCGCGTAGCTTGGAAGTCAAATAAAAAATGATATTTATTTTAAGAATTGCGTAATTTTGGATATGATGTTCTCTTTCCCCCTTTATCCGTTATCATTTTATCATCTCTATTTAAGCAACTTTATTCCCTTTTGAAAGTCCTTTTAATTCATCTAAACACAGATTTTTTAAGCAAAGAAAGATTTATTAAAATTTTCAAGACGTGTCTTTTCATTTCATATCATAAATCGGGAAAAGAATACTTAAAATAATGTTTGAAATTTAGTCTGGTATTACCCCTTCTATATCATAGGGTATTTATAATATTATTAATTTCAAAAGTTTTGCAGAGGGAGTTTCAATTGGGTTAAAAAAAAACAAGACGTATATATTAATGTTACATGGCTGAGCACATTCGTTAATGACAGTAAAATAGAAATTTTTTTTGAGAGGCTCCTTAAAATTACAGAGGAACCAAAATAAACTCTGTACAAGGAAATCTATGACTTTTACAATGTAAAATCGATGTTGTTCTCAGACCCCATACTACCCATAGTCCTCTGCGTCTCGGCACACAGAGAACGAACTCTGGCGGAAGTTTGCTCAGACCCTTACTGATCAAAGAGGAACAACTCTGAAAATCTAGGAGATGTTTATTTTCCTCCCTTTATTCACGGTTTTCCACAGAATCAGATTTTTACATTTACAGCAAGACCTGATAAATCCGAGAATTGAATACTATAGACCTCATATACACAATGTACGTATATAATTGAAAAGAATTGTTCACTAGTACTGAAATTATCTGCATTTATGAATATCTTATTGCAGCAAATCGTTTGACTTTCTGTAACTCACACATGTCGGTTTGCATTTCCTCGAATCAAAACAAACCGTAGCCTATAAGATTTTTAAAAATATCAATGTGCGATTTGATATAAATTGAAATAGATGAAGAGTTTAATGTTTGATATTTTGAAGTTAATGTGGACGAATACGGAATTTTCATTTTAACTTTACAAGCAACGACATTGAAAGAATGCGTGAGGGGTGTACATCTATGCAAATGTCGATGTATCCCCACGGCCACATAACTGTGATACTGTCTCGTTTGAGAAATAATGACATGAAAGAAACTACAATTGTTCCATTTATATCACAGGAGAGTTGAACATACACCATTTTTTAAATAAATAAAATTAAAGAAATCAAATTAAAAATCAACATATTATTCAAGTTTAACATAACTTAAATTCGTATCCAGGTTTCATGTGATATGGAATGCATAACGCATACATGTATATATGGACTAAACACTAAAATCCTTCAGTAATTTTTTCCTGATACATATAAAAACAGTAGTCAATATTTATTCTGCATTCATGAATATTAAAACTAATGCATACCTTCGGGATTCAAATGACGAAATACTAGTATATCGACGCAAAAAGGGAAGGGCCAGGGGTGGGGGTGGTAGGGGTATCAAAAATTGCCTGAAAATCTACATTTAAATACGCTTTACATATGAGTACTTTTAAATTTGTAAGTTAATATATTTTTGAAGCAAAAGCAATATTCCAATTTGATTTTTTAAAAATGTGTATTTGTAGATTCCTAGCAAATTGATCGACCCCCGTCTGAAAGACTCGCGGAAACGTGATTTCTTGAAAAAGGGGGAGGCCCGGAGGGGTTAATTTTCCGCTATTAAATCAAAACTGGTCGTACAAAAATTATCCAAAAAATTATGAAGATTATTTTTACTATCAGCTACCTAGAGAAATTTTTTTACCAAAATTAAACGACAGGTTTTTTTTCACAAAAAAGTTTTGAATTTGAAAATTACACAATTTTCAAGGCTTAGATAATTCATAGTTTTTCAGTTTAAAGTCTTTAAAAATTGTTTTGGTGATATGTATATAAAAAAGATGACTATGTTTTATTGTTAAATGGTTAAAGGAATAAGTCAATGAAATTTGACATTTATATCTTACCCGGCTTTTTTGAAAATCAAGGTTTAAGTAATTCATTAATGAAAAATTTCCTCTCCTTGTAAACAACTAAAGGGGGGTAACTTTTAGAAGTTCCTGTCCAAAATCCACTCGAACGATTTTGTCCAAAATGTGCACATTTGCAGAAGATATAGTCATGTCCTAAATATACAAAAATGACGAAAATTAAACCACAGGAATTTTTTGGGATAGGTGTGTTGTACATCCTTAATTATATAATATTAAAGAAGTGGACAGGATGAACAGGATAGACATACAGACATTAGAATCAGGTAATCAGGAAAGCTTTATTATTTGATTGTTTATTTTTAATAAAACAACATGAAAAATAATTTGTTTAAATATTATTTTAAGTATTTTACTTGGAAATTTATCTTCATGAGTAAAAATTGTTTACTGCATGAGTATCATTTCCTTTTTATTTGACACATGAAGAAATTTTCTTCAAAGAAATTATGCTTTGTGTACTTTGAAATAATTTAAATCCCGAATGTGACTTTCACAGAATCTTTATTACATGGTGTGCACCTCTTATTTAACTTTTTAATCAGAAACATATTTTGGGTTTCCCATAGCAAAACACCGACACTGTCATAATAAATATATTGAAAGGTACCTATCTTTTAACCGCAATTCCTCCTATATCATTAAATCTTTCACAAACATTTGCTCTTTATTACATAATGCTATTGTGCACCTCTTATTTTACTTTTTGATCTGCCACTTGATCTTGACCAAACTTGGTACGAAGCATCCTTGGGTAAAGGGAAATTTAAAATTGTAAAAACAAAGGTCCAAGTCCCCTCACAAGAGGAGATAATCAAGAAAAGACAAAAATAGGGTTGGGTCATTAAAAAATCTTCTTCTCAAGAACCACTGGGCCAAAAAAGCTGAAACTTATGTGGAAACATTTTTGGGGTAGTGTAGATTTTAAATTGTAAAAATCATGAATCCCAGGGGAAGGGCGGGGCCGGAATTGGGAATCAAAGTTTTAAATAGAAATATATAGGAAAAATCTTTGAAAATCTTATTCTCAAGGACCATCGAGCCAGAAAAGTAGAAACTTATGTGGAAGCATTCTTGGGTAGTGTAGATTCTAGATTTTTGAAATCATGACCCTCCGGGGAAGGGTGGGGCCACAATGGGAAATCAAAGTTTTACATAGAGATATATAGGAAAAATCTTTGAAAATCTTCTTCTCAAGAAACACTGGGCCAGAAAAGTTGAAACTTATGTGGAAGCATTCTTTGGTAGTGTAGATTCTAGATTGTTCAAATAATGACCCCCCGGGGAAGGGGGGGGGCACAATGGGGAATCAAAATTTTACATAGAGATATATAGGAAAAATCTTTGAAAATCTTCTTCTCAAGAACCACTGGGCCAGAAAAGCTGGGGTAGTGAAGATTTCAAAATGTCTTAATTATGATCAGTGGGGTAGGGTGGGGATGCATTATGTATTACAAGGGGGAAATCTGGTAAAGAACAGAATGGTCAAAGCTTCTCTGGTGAGCAATGTGGCCCATGGGCCTCTTGTTAAAGATGCAGACTCATACTACACCCCAGAGTCATGATTTGAATAAAACCGTCAAAGTGTTAACTATACATGTAGTAAATCAAAGTTTTCATAGTATCAAAGTGTTCAATATAGTTAGCTTTAGTAAACTATATCTAACTATAGTATTTTTGTTAGGGTTTCCACGAACACATTCTTGTGTGTGTTCCTGTTCCTGCAAAACCTTTGCTTACTTAAAATTTGAATACAAGTAATTCAATTTGTTTATTTCTTTTAACTGCTCTAAGGATATAATAATCATAACAAATGTTTTTTTTTCATACTAGTTCTCCTTTGATTATGGAGCCCCGTACCTGTGTCCAGGACGTGATGCGATGTGACCTGTGTGAGACTGCTGTGGTACAAATGCACTGTGATACATGTCTCGTCAACCTGTGTAAGGCCTGTGTAGGGGAGCACATGATTTCAGATGAATCCCAAAAGCATGGTACACTGTATTGTTAAATATACTCTTAGAAAATCTACCCCACTCTACCCCGCATGCAAATCTCATGTCAAAGAACGATGCGAAATGAACTGTTTTCAATGTGACATTCCTGTGTGTGACACCTGCATTGCATCAGATCAACATTTAGGTCATAATTTATTAAAAATCTTACAAGTTTTAGAGAAGAAAAAAAGAAAAAATCATCAAAGAACAAGCTGAATTGAATGAAACAATTTATCCAACCTACCAGGACATTGCCTCTGATGTACAAAACAGAATGAGTCAGTTAGAAAAGGAATATGGAGATCTCTCAACAACCATAACAAAACATGGAGAGAACTGGCACAGAGAAATTGACAAACTTGTCAGGAAACTTGAAGTTGAAGAGATGAAAAACACACAGTTACAGACTCTACAGAAACATCTGGATGAAATAAACAAGACAATGTCTGACATCAATGATGAAATCCATTCATTTAATACTGTAAAAGACTCTAATGAAATTTTAAATATTTTGAAATTTGCGTCTGTTAATTTAAAAAAAATATAAAAATCTACCAGAAAAAATTATTCCATCCCTACCAAAATTCTCACAATCCAGAATCCAAGGAGAAAAACTGCGCAGACTGTTAGGAGACTTATCATCAAGTCCCCTCACTTCAGATGAACATGGTTACAACATGAAGACAACGCAGAAATCACCAAAAGCTGGATCCTCTCCTCCTGTCAAACAGCTGCTTGATGAGCCAGAGGCTGTCACCACCATAAACACTGGGTATAGCTTGCTTTACTATGTGGCCTGCCAGAATGATGATGAAATTTGGACAAGCGGGGATAACATGAACAAAAAAACTCTTGAACGTCAATCATGGATCACTACTCAAGTCAATCACAGCCAAGCCAGGGCTATTTCCATCGGATATAGCATTGAAAATAAATGGAGATTTAGTTTATACTGATTATGATAAAACTGTGAAAATTGTGAAAAAAGAAAAGATTAGAAGAGTTGATCAGACTACAAAACTGGATACCTCTAGGTTTCTGTAGTACCTCCTCTGGTGACCTCCCGGTAATCATGATCAGTGATGATCTTGAACAGTCAAAAGTTGTCCGATACTCTGGCTCCACAGAGAAACAAACCGTTCAGTTTGATGCTAAAGGTAAACCTCTCTATTCTCCTCTCTATTTTCCTGAATATCATTGTTCTAGATTTATTACTGAAAACAACAATCTGGATATCTGCGTGTCTGATAATGGAGCTAAGGAAGTAGTGGTGGTCAATCAGGCCGGGAAACTGAGATTCAGGTACAATGGAATATTTCCTGCGCCAATGAACAGACCAATGGATTCACAAGGAATTACCACAGACAGTCAGAGTCACATTCTTACAGCTGATCTTAGAAACCACTGTATTCACATCATAGACCAAAATGGACATTTTCTCCGTTTCATAGAACGTGGACTGATTAAAGCAATAGGACTGTGAATAGATACAAAAGACAATCTGTTTGTTGCTCAGGAAAGTAAGAGACAAGTGAAGAAAATCAAATATTTGCAATGAATTGGATCAGGTTATCTAAAGGATCAAACTTTATAAAGAAAGAAACACAATATTTATTTTTCATCTAAAGAAGGCAACCTGTTGAGTGTTGCACGCTTCTATTCCTTCTAATTCCAATATCATTAATTCATGTGAGCACTTTTTGATAGTAATGTGCCTCTTAGCCGCATAATTAAGAAAAAAAGCAAAATAAAAAAAAAATTAAAAAAATTCCTTGGAGTTGGATATCAAACACATTACCAAAAAATATCTACTTTTTCTTTCATTGTTTAATATACACATACTTGTAACTTAATTGCTCAAAATGATATAAAAGACATGTGAAGGAAATAAAATGTCTGAAAGTAAAAGTGATTTATGAAAAATGTTGCGACTGCTATTGAAATTAAAAAGAAATGTCTCACTATACTTTTAATATCAATTCTACTGATCAAAAAGGGGGAAAAATAGTTACCTAGTAGAGTGGTGTATTGGTCTCTTTGAAAATTGCTACTTGAACGCTGCAAACTTCACCCTGTACTCGGGACTTAATTATGGCCTTTGAGAAGTTTAAAATTTCTTTTTTGTGCAAGCCAAACTGGGGCCTCATTTTCCAAGACTCACCCAAAAGAGCATTTACACATTCCGCAGTGGATTTGAACGCGCGCTATAAGGAAAAACCCCTTACTTAGCGATTTTAACCATGGTCTGAAATATCTGACGTATTCCAGACTTTAAAACGGTTTTGATATTTTACGTGCCAGGAAAACGTCAGAACCGGCGCCATTACGAAAACTGGGGTTGATGATACTTGCAAACCGAATTAAGGACAGATGATACATGTACAAACAAAAACTTGATGCATGGATTGCTATATATTTTTTGGCCTAATTTCATTGCAAATGATCCAAGTAATAAATTTCTAGAATATATAAAAATTGTAAAACTTCTGTGATGTTCAAACGTCTGCCCTTATGAAACCATCCTTATTCATCTTTACAAATATTTTCACTTCAAATTCAATTTTTAGCTTTACTGGTCAGAGACCTGAAGAGCTTATGCGATAGTAAGGTGTCCGTCGTCCGACCGTCTAGCTGTTTGGGTCTGATTTCAATATAACTTGGCACACAAGTAGAATACACTAGGATACATCATTTAGTGCATTGATTTATGATTTAAATGAGCGGTGTTACTTTGGTTACTAAATATAGAAATTTCTGTGAAATTTCTTTAAAACGCTAATCCTAGTACATTTTTTATCTGATTTCAATATGACTTGGCACACAAGTAGACTACACTAAGATACATAATAAAGTGCATCGGTTTTTGATTTCGATAAATGGTGTTGCCATGGTTACTAAAAATATAAATTTCTGTGAAATTCATGAAAAAACGCTACTTCTCCTACGGTTTTGGTCTGATTTCAATATAACTCGGCACACAAGTAGACTACACTGTTGCAAAATTTCAAATCATAGTGCTAGCTACCTTTCCTTGATATATGCACAGATCAGTTGAGCTACAGTCTCATCAGAGACTTCTAGTTTTGAAAATAGAATTAAAAACTAAAAACTACACGGTGAAAGTTATTCATTTTACTCATTTAAACATGGCCTAAGTTGTTACCTTCATTTTTTTTTATTTAAAAAAAAATTTGTTTGTAAAATCTGTCCTTAAATGTCAAACTAACAAGTTATCAATAGTATAATACTTTCAGTGGTCACCAACACTGTTTCATGGTTTATTTATAACATATATAGTCTGAAGAAAAGATTTAATCAGACCGTCGAGATTTGTCTTCATTTTGTGTATTTTAAAATCATGCAAGTCCTGTAACGAAATGTGGAGAGATATGTTCTTTTCATCGATATTGGAGAGTACTATTAGCATTGTGCTATTGATAAATTCTGACGTCGGTATTTAATTCTGTTAGCAAGTATCGAAAATCAATTTCAGTTTGAGGCGGCAAATTTTCCAGTTTTCGCTGGAAAACGTCAGATGTTTCGGACTACTTTAACCACTGCGCCATAATAGGTACAGATACCTGTATGAGATATCTTTTGACTACTTTTCGAGTTAATTTTACCAAATATAGTATATAAAAGTAACCTTTTAACCGTTTTTTTTTTAAAGAAATTAACAACGTTATTCACAGTGAACATGGCGTTATGAATCGCAATTGCTCTGCTGACTAGCGCTCATCATGTAAAAAATAGAAGAGTTTTCATTCTTTGCAAAAATATGCGAAATTATAAAAACAAAAATTCAAATATGGCAGTTCTCCTCTATTGTGCGAGTGTGAAAAGGGAATTGCACTTATAGCAGAAGAAGTTGCGTCTATAGCCTGCAATTGAAGACGGCAGGTTCATAGTGAGAGAAAACAGGCAGAATGCAAATATAGAGATATAATTGCCACTTGTGCAACCAATGTGTTTAGTTGATCAGTTTGATAGTTGAAACATAATCAGAATTAACTCAATATGAGTAAAGTTCCGTTATGGAGACAATTAGAGATAAGGTCCAGGAATACGAAAGCCCAGAAGGCTCATTCGAGATTTGAGATTCGAAATACGAGATTCGAAATTCGAAATTCGAGTTTCGAGATTCAAGATCCAAAATAACCAATCAAAAGGCGGTTTAAGATTCAATTACTCCCCTTTATTGATTTGTACTATCGTTGAGTATTTTAATACCGAGGAGGTTATTTGATCTAATTACAACGCAAGAAAAAGTGTTATATATTATCAAAGCGAAATTTGAAGAAATATTAGATTTTGGGCTGCAAGATATGCTAAATTAATTTATAATAACTTCTTAAATGTCATAAGAGATTTATATAAAGAATATACATATTTCGTGTTTTCTTCTTTGGATACAGGGTTGTTGACATGATAGTAAACTTAAAATAGATTAACAGTACATACATCCCCCCTTTTTTCCAAACATAATTTTTTTACTATTGAAAATATTGATCGAAAGGTCGGTTGCCAAGCCCCCCCCCCCCCCCCCACGTTTTGGTACAGTGGTGCAGTATAGTCAAAGAAGTTTAAGTAGTAGTGTATTAAAAGAAATTAGGTACTAAATGAAGTTCGATCCCCCCCTCCGCCCCCTTTCACGCCCCGAAATAGGGTTTTCGGGTTTGAACAAATTTTCAGGTTTGAAATAATATTTTTGTCTGCCCTCCCCCCCCCCCCTCCCCCCACCCACTTTCAAAATCGATGCTTCGTCTCTGTAATAATTAGTACTACGGGTTTCAAGGTGGATAGTGTTTGTGACACGGTATTAGAAAGTGGCCAATGACCAAGTTTATGAAACCAATAGAGACCCCCTTAAATACGGATGGCTGAAACATGCATGCTTAAAAAAGATAATGACCCATTGGAAATATTAATTTAAAAAAATCATTGTTAATCCCCCTATCCCCACCCCAACCTCAAAAAATAGGGGTTATCATGGTAATTGGAAGTTATTTTTTAATGGACATAAGCATAAAGTTACTGTTTTCTATAGTATGGTATATCGGAAAAGTATTACGGGAATGGCAAAGTGGGAGGGGGGGGGGGGGAGGTACAAATGTGTGGTTATCAACATAAATTGTTAATCTTGCGATGCATAGATACAATAAATATATATTAATAATTAATTATACCAAGTTTTACATAGTAATATATAGGAAAAATCTTTAAAAGTCTTTTTCTCAAGAATACCAAACCCAAAGTTCTTCATATTTATATGAAAGCATCCTCAGGTAGTGTAGATTCAAGTTTGTTCAAATCATGACCCGGGGGCAGGGTGGATACACAATGAACGATCAAAGTTATCTATAGAAATATATAGGAAAATTCGTTAAAAATCTTCTTAAAATCAGCAAAGCCATGAGAAATAATCTGGGAGAGAAAAAGTTTTAGAGAGAAACGACCTGACACCTATTTATATGGAAGCATCCTCGGGTAGTGCAGATCTAAGTTTGTTTGAATCATGACCCCTGAAGGTAGGGCATCACTACAATGAGATGACAATACATGTGTATATTTAATAATTATTCATTGTTTAATGTTTATGATATCTATGACAAGAATAAGTATACATTTTAATTCACCTTTGATTTTTCTAAATAAGAAATCATAAAAAATGCCTCATAATAATTAATTATCTGAACTCTCCGTTTCCGAAAATTTGCACGCGAACAAAGATATTGCATTGTTTTGAAGAAGAATATGTAATGTGCTTCATGCGGACTTGTACAGCTCTACAATCCCTGTCTGTAGAAAAAATAAAGTGATCTACTGGTTAGTGCATTTTTGTGTGTGTAGTAATAGGTGCTCATTTATAAGCTTTCACTATTAAAGTTCTCCTCCAGGTTTTTTTTTTTAATTATTCAGTAAAATGATAACACTGGAATTCATATCGTTAAAGGAGCTGGGGCAGATGATCATGGGTATTTCCTCGAGTTTTGGGGTTCTCGCCGGATTTCACATACAGATAAGAGCTCAACAAGAAAAATACCATCCCATGGCTTATCTGAACAGGAAACAGGACTATTAGGTTATTTTACAGATGAACATAAAATTAGTTTTTAATAAAATTGTTTATTGCCTCCATGATTCCTGTGATTTAATCCATTCACTTTACATTTTAGGCTATGTGATAATACTTTGCGGTTCACGGACAATGTATCCGGGTGGCCCGGATCTGTACACGATGTAAGGGTTTTCAAAAATTCACCCCTTTATGAAGCAAGTGAAAACCCCTTTCTTGGAGATACACATATTGTTGGAGATACAGTATATCAACTGCAAAGGTTAATAAAAATCAACATTCATTTAAAGCAACCTGCAGATTATACCCTATATGCACACTGGATCGAAAGATCCTGGGGATATTGTGTTTTTTATCCTGTCTGTCTGTTGTCAACTTTAACCAAGCCTATAACTATTGAATGGGTG